TTAGAATAAAATAGAAGAGAGAACTACAGTAAAATTATGAGAAGGAGTTAATCGGGGGGTGCGGTCAAATAGATACTAAATTAAAATGTAGTAATTATTTAATTTTTGCCGACGTTTCGACCCACTTTGCAGGTTGTCTTCAGGGCTACAAAAGATAAAAAAAATGGTGAAAATAAAAAAATGAATATAAGTAGATATAAAATAAGAAGAAGTTGTCAGATACAGAAATAAAAAGATGATATCAGAGGTATAGTGTGTGACAATGTAGTTAAAATATCAAGTATTATGTATGTAGAAGATACAAACAAATGGAAAATAAGTATGAATAAAAATAAAAAATAAAGGAGAATATAGCATGTAAGTTAAAAGTAAACAGATTGTGATAAAAGATAAGGAATAAGTGTATAATAAACTAATAGACATTACATTTGATAACTGTGGGATAACACATAAAGAAAATGAATGTTAACGAATATATTCTTCTCATATTATATCAACGATCAACCATTTCCACATCATACAGTAAAATAGTAATGCTGCTCAACAGTGTTGAGTTGAGAGAAAAATAACTTCATTCTGGGACAAACTCCATTAAAAATAACAAAATGTTACAAAACAAAAGAATACTTCTGGCCAAGAGAAATAGATTAAATAAATAAAATACTTCATGTAAACTATCGAAATATACAAAACTAACTTAATAGATTATTATTATTATTATTATATATTTTCTTAATTATCCATTCATATAATTAAATTAGACATAAAGACCAGAAGTGAGGATAAGATGAAATAAATTATAAATTTTATTATACTCAATTTTTTTTTTAGACCGCATTCCGATTCCTGATCTAAGTACACGGTCATCAGTCCTACGCCCGGTCGGCGTGAATTGACTCTAGTAGACTGACGGGCCTCACATACCCGGGAGTGGGGAAGATCTCGGGCAGCGTGGCTTTCCCTGGTGGACGGTTACCCAAATCGTGCGGTCACCCATCCAAGTACTAACCACGCTCGGCGTTGCTTAACTTGGTTACCTATTGCAAGCGCCTCAGCCCACACGCCACACCTCAGCTACTCCAGCCCCATTTTATTCAATTTATGGAATATCAAATTATAGCATATCCTTAGAGTTGTTAAAAAAATCAGATTTGTATCCAAAATTTCAGAATATTCCAGAAATGGCACACGTGACGTTTTCATGATCTTGAGAAAACGTAAAAACTATATAACAATCAATATTTACATTATCCAAGCATTACATTTCAGAAATTTAAATATAATTTGATTAAATATAAAATTTTTATATTTGTATTGTTTCTCCATAAGGAAAATTTGGTCATTGGCTCTCATTTTTTTCTTAAATCATAGTAAGTAATAAATTGAAAGTCAGTGTATTACTTCTGAAATAAAGATTCTTTCCCGGTAAATTTTTCTTGACTGAGAAAAATAAGACAATTAAGTAAAACCCAAATAGCTCATTATTATTAAAAATAAGCTTACTCTGAACTAGCTAGAAATTCTGTTTTTGTTTTTTTAGGTTTGATTAATAGCTATTTCAACGGATTATCAATACAGATATTACATAAAATTAGAAAGATATCTTAGCTACTTCTTTTGCCTCTATTATTGTTACTTAATTCCGGACCTCTACCTGTTCCTATCTCATCTCCCCAGATTATAACTTCCGGACTAGGGATATTAGGAAAATATCGATATTTAAATAAAAGTATATAAATATTTTCCCTGATATTATTTATGTCAATATTGAAATACAACTTTCAACAACAACTTACTGGTTCCAAAACATCTATCTAGTCAATGACCGATTATAGTAGAGGCATATTTAACAATTTGTAAATAATTCCGATCTTATCATATTAACGTGAGGTTCGGTTAAAAGTACATTTTTTTTTATTATAATTTATACACCGACCTATAACTATTCGGATTTTTCGTATAGGCCAGCTACAGTTAGTAAGGTAAAGTGGAATGACATTTCATGACAAACAGTAATCTAAGATATCAATCAAACACTTCCTTTAAATCTATTCAAATTTCCTGACTGATGTGTATCTATTAATAATATGTCGATTGACCTCTCTTTATCTGCCATCACGAACACTGCGATTATCTCAACTCAGATATTGATTTCTTTTTATATTAAAAAAAATGCTACTACGTTTTAAATTAATATTTAATAATGAGTAATTTATGCACTCCATGTGGGGAAAATATCTCTCCTCAGCTCCAATAATTTGTATATAAAAAAGTTAGTAATTTTATGATTTGAAAACAAGCTTCAAACTGCATATAATATAATATTTTACTCAAGGAGTTTATAACATTTAAAACTAATACTAGTAGGTAAGAGTACATTTCAAGTTTTATTTTATCAACGACATCTGAATAGAAAAGAAAGTTATTGTTGTAAAGTGTTACCATTCAAACAGGTAAATGATAAATACTCAAATAAAAAGTGATGATTTGAATGATTTTTTATATATTTTCTCCGTCATCATATATACAACTTTCAACGTAATTGTCATATTAAAATGTTTTCAATCAACAAAGGGGTTGTGTAATGCATGGAACGGCGAGGATTTGTGGGAGTACTTAGGAGGTTAGCATAATAAAAGTTCTCGGCAATACCCTTCATAATTCTGGAATCTTATTTCCGATAGTATTTTCATAAAAAGCTACCCCATCAACATATCCTTATATTGAAGTAATAAAAAAATTACAACGATTGCACTATCCTAAAATCGAGAGTATATTGTTATAAATAGATCTCTTCCCCCTAAAATTAGCTCAGTCAAATTATACATTTTACCTTGCAAAAGGTAGAGTAATTCAAATTTCTTTTTATATTGTAAGGTGTGCAGTGAATATAAAAAATCCAAGTTTCTGCCCTTGAAAGCCTTGTGGGTTCGAACTTTTTTGGTTTACGCTAAATATCACCTTTTTAGAACAACATAGATAAAACGTGAGTGTATTCAACCTTAAACAGCTTAAAATTATCTAACATTTTAGTACATAACATTTTTCTCAAACCCAACCGGAAGCGAACTATCGAGTTTTCAAAATTTACCCATTTCGATTTTTTCACAATTGTACTCTTTCAGTTTTGAACGGAAGAATTATGCAACTCCATTTTGAATCCCGTTTAGAGAATTTGGAGGTTTTTCTTGAAGATAATGAGCCATTGACTGAAACAGTAGACGATAGTCGGGAGATTTGTTGAAAAGTATGTTACACGGTGGGCCAGACTCCTACCGTGCACCCTCCCCACACATCCCAATAAATAGCAAAGAGTTGTTTTCCTTGTAATTATTTAATAATTACAAGCCAATCTTCGCACAAAAAAAGTGGCCTCACTGCTCCAAAATTGCGTTCAAACATATCAGATTGTCGTCTTCGGCTTAAGATAGTTTTTTGGTCACTGAGCAATTCTCCTCAGTTCATGCTAAGCAATTCATACTAGCACATCGGCCTACAAGTAAATGAAGATAAAACAATATGTATGATAATGTGTTAAAAGATTTGAGATAAAAATCCACCCCACGATAACCGGAGCGATTTGGGATCAGAATATTAACACGTGGAGAAGAAAGACCAATAAAGAACTGATTACAGAAACTGGACAATCAATATCCCATGATATGAAGGCACGGATGTTAAGATGGGTGGGGTATGTAGGTCGTAGCAATCCATCTGAAAGCCTCTTGGTAACAAAAACGCCACGTGAAAGGTCAAAAAGCAGAAGAATAGATGGAATCAACAAAGATGCAACGGAGCTGCGTGCAGATAAATGGAAAGAAATAGCCCAAGACAGGCAGAGATTGAGCAGGCTTCTTAAGGCGGCAAAAGATCTACATGGCCTGTAATGCCATCACAAAAAAAATCCAGCACAGATGTATATATATATTCAGTTTAATTTCAATTTAGTCAGATGTTTGTAAATACTCTGCTAAATTTTCTAATTGTTAGTGAAAAAAAAACCTTGTAATTTGGTTAGTTTTGTAATTCATAGTTCCCTTTAACAGCCGGGGTGTTGAATATTTATCCAGAAAGGATATACTCGTATAACTTATGTTTATAATTTACAAAATAATAATTTTTTTTATTTATACATATAAAACGTAACACTGTAGGTGCATTAACCTCTGTTTTCTAAACTGTATTTATTTAACTCGAATTCTATGAAACCACTTTAACAATTTATAAATGTCTCAGCTTGCTATGATGACAGTTTCTAATTGTGATTAATAAAATATTTATTTATTAAAGAACTGATAATAAGAAAACGTTTACCTGTCGTTTCATTAAGAAACTATAGTTGGTTAACGTATAGTAAAACAGATTAAAGTTATTAGTCCGTGGTATAAACTCCTTTTTATCAAATTATTAACTTCCGTGTGAAACTTTGTAAATAGCTTCATCTCATCGTAACCTACAAATATTTTATTTACGAAAATCCTCGAAATTAGGGCGTATTTGATCTGGAGATCGGCTAACTTTGTCTATTTAATTAATTACTAAAAACTCGTAAATACCCATTTGCTTTCCACTTGGATCTTAGGATAATGTGAGCACAAAATCGTGAAAAAAGTGTGGCCTTCAGCAATAATGAGCCGTTCGGCGTGGCCTACACCCCATAAATGTCAAAATAACGAGGTCATATAGGCCAAATGGACCTTTGTTTTTTAGGCCACATTTATTAAATAGACAAAATTTGCTGACCTCCAGATTAAAAACGCCTCAAATTCGAGGATTTTGGTAAATAAAATATTTGTAGATTACGATGAGAAGAAGCCATTTACGAAGTTTAAGGCAGATGTTAAAAATTTGATAAAAAGGGGTCAGTATCACGGACTATATTATCTGATTCGTAGAAAAGAAGTTTGTGCTAATCGTACCATTATTATTTAGTCAAACTATTGATATGGCGGGTAGTAATTTAACTATTTTAGGTTAATGTTAAACCTTATAGGTTATTTAAAGATTTTAAATAATGATCTTAAAAAATTGAAAATCGCTATAAAACATATTTGTAAAACAAACATATGCAAACTTCATTTATTAAAACTACAAACTAAAGAATAGATTCTTTTGGAAAGTACTAAAAAAGCAAATTTTGGTTGTTTATTGAAATTAGTCTCCCCTAGAACAAGGGAGTCCTTGGGCCTCCAATTACATCACCGATGGCGATATGGATTCACCTCCATCCAGTTTTGTAAAACTGTAAGAAAAAAATAGAACATGCAAAGACTGGTCTTCAAAATGTCCCTCCTCTTCATATGCTGATGATGACACACCTGAAAAATAGACACTGTAAGATAAAAGTTCCTCGGTCAAGAAAAGATCCCTCAACATCTACCAATACCGTTTATTCATCAGTAAATATAAGACCAGATCTCTCATTATTCTCACCAAGTAGGAAGGCGGTGGATGAAGATTCCATTGACAAATTTCACCAGGTACAGCACGGTTTGGAAAAATTTTCCGAAATATTGAGTTGTCCGAAAAATAATGCTGGATTTTGAGTTTTCTTCAAAATACCCTTCTATATAACAAACTGTTAACGTTTATTGGATCATTCATTTGCATGAATGTCAACACTTATTAACACTCTAACAAACAATAAGTTTGTCTACCTCTGTACCATTTCGCTGATTACAAATAATTCAGTCCTTAATAAGATGTTAGCGCGTGATTTTTGTATAATTTTGTATGTAATTTTAGTTACTCTTTTTTCTGAATCCAGCTTGGTGGTCGTCTATTATATTCTCGTAATATAGATAAATCCGGTTTAGTAGGATATTGATCATTATCTTGTATGCAACCGGTAGGAGTGCTATGGCTCTGTTATTACTACACTCATACATGGAGCCTTTCTTTAGGATAAGACAGATTATGTCCGTATTCCAAGCCTCAGGCATGCTTTCCTCTTCCCATATTTTCTGGGTTAGTTGTAGTAGCATGGCTCTTAAGTCATCTCCTCTATCTTTAAACAATTCTGATGGTAGGTTGTCTGTCCATGTGGCCTTTCTTGTTTTGAACCTTTCGATAGTTATTTCTACATCCAGCATATCTGGTTTATCAACCTCTTCTGGGTCAATGTCCTCAGTGTGGTCCACGTCTTCTTCGTCCTTGGGGTCCCCTGATTCAGAAGTTCCTGGAATTGTTCTTTTCATATGTTCAATATACTTTATTTAGGTGCCGTCAGAATGCTATCTTTTCCTCGCATTTGAATGTTTCTCGCTTTATACCCTACCCTTTCTTTGCTGTCTTCGTGGAGTTCGCGTATATCTTCAGCCTGCCAGTTGTCCTCAATGGTTTGCAATCTTTCTTTGAGGAATTCTCTTTTTGACGATCCTATAGTTTTGTTTGCCTTTTTCTTGGCAACTGTGTACTTGTCCTGAGCAACTTGATTAGTTGTAGTTAGGCAGAGGACTTTCATTATTCTTTTTTCTTCTACAGCCTTTTCACATGTTTCTGTGAACCGTATCTTAGCTTTTTGTTTCTCCTGAATACTGATCATTTCCTTAGCTGCTTCTTTTGGTCCTTTTTCTATTTCCTCCCAGTGTTGGTCCACCGTGAGGCTGTCCGAATCCAAGAGTTCGAATTTATTTTTCAGCTTAAGTTGGATTTAGTTTTTACTTCAGCTTTTTTCCAATTACGAACATCATACCTCCTTCTTTCCACTCGATTGAGTAGGGAAATTGTACTGCTAACGCCTAGACCTTCAGCTGCAGCCAGATTGATACATCATACTCCATTGTCAATGCTATTTTCGTGAAGGCTTTGGCCTCGAATATCGGGCCATAATTGGGGTTTGCATTAAAGTCACCTATGACTAATTTTATGTCATGCCTATGAGCTTGGTCCACAATATTTTCCAACTGAAAATATTGAACTTAGCATAGTTTATGCTGCCTAAAAGACCTCTTTAAATGGTTTTAACAAAGAAAAACTCTACCTGCACTTAAAGAAAAAAAAATCTAGTTTACTACGATTCAATTTTTAATAACCTTAATTAAATATTTTTAGCTAACTCATTCTCCTATTAAACAATAATGTTACTTACCTAAAAAAACACAACTTAAAATTGCTATTATTCTGTGGAAAATTGTACCTTGATGTAGTTATTTTTTTTTAGCTCTTGAGGTACATTCTAATTTATTTAAATATTAACCTTTATTTATATCACACTCTGTATAATGTACGATTGACTTATGTTTTAATTTTTGTAATGTTTTAGAGGACAGATAAACAATTAAAAAAATGTTGGGACAACCTCAAAACAGAGTGGAAAAGGAAGAAGAAATTAAAAGAAATGAGGAAGGGAGAAGTCTTGGGTTCAGGTGAAGAGCCTCCTCAGAAAGATTTTATTTCTGAGCCAGGCCCATTTCAGCCACTACTTGTAGATGTGAAGGATAGAAACAACAATGGGGATAAATCAGGCAAAGCAAATTACTTAGTAATACATAAGGGAATATCATTATATATATTTTACGGTACTTTACTTGTAATAAGGCTTTAGTAATTTGTATTATTTATACTGGTTATATATTTGTAGATGTTATAAAGAATGAATTTGAAGAGGAATCATACTCAATAAAAGTAGAAGAAGAAGCACCTGTTCAATCAGATAAAAGGAAAAATGTGGATAAATCAGGCAGGTCGAATTTATCCACTTAACTAAAAAAATTGTTTACATTTTCCTCATAAATAAAGTTTTTATAATGAGTATTACTTAAAATATTTTTCTCTTTTCAGATAATTTTTTTATGAGTCAGAAGAGGAGCTATTCCCAACAATGGAAGGGAGGCTAAGTTCTCAGCTAGATGAAAGGAAAAATTTGGATAAATCAGGCAAGTAAAATTTCTTCACTACCTTTTAATTGGCACAAGCTCTCTCATAATGCTGGATAAAGTTTTTTGAATGATGTGATATTGATCTTAGCAATCAGTAATGCAATTTGAAAAATGTTTTTAAAAAATCCTGCCTCTTTCAAAAAAATGTTTGTTGCATGTATGTGGTGCTTGATTATTGATGATTAAAAATAATCAAAGACATATTTCATTAATTATATATTTTGGTAAACTTTAACTTTATATAAGAATTAGGTAGGTTTTAATGTTGAGATTAAACTCTAACTTAAACCTGCAAATATAAATTACTAAGGAGGTACCCCCTGTCTGCTTAATGGCCGATCAACTTTCATTTTACAAATTATACGACTGTCTGCTTAATGTTCATTGTAGTACTCATTGCTCAAATTGTATATTGTATACTTTACATGTATTTTGTTATTATTTTTTATCAACATAAAACACAGATTTTTATCATCATAAAAAAAAAATAAAAATTTCCCATACAAATTTTTAGTCTAAAGTCTTTATTTTGCACTAGGAGAGTAGAAGATAACAGGAGCTCAACACATATTTAATTAAATGGACATTATTATTATGGAATTATTCACCGAGCATCTGTTATTTCCTACTATCTTAATACTAAATTAAAATAAAATATGGAAGTTAATAAAAAAATTTTTTTTTATATTATAGAGAGATATGACAATAACACAAAATTTAAATTAAATAAAACAGCCCATTCAATAAAACTAATTTACTTATCAATACACTAACGAATAATCACAGTGGACACTGTCTATATGTGTCCCATCTAAGAAGAATTTTGCCTAGTAAGCGCTGGCAAGCTATCCTAAATCTTTACATATTTTTCTGTACCTTCTGCCATCTAGAGGAATTAATCAAACTGCTTTGAATGGAAAAATCTTGCTCACTGGTGGATCTTGCTCACCATAGACTGCCAGTTGAAGGAATAACTTGAAAAACAGCAAAGCTTTTACTCTTTGAATGAATGAGTAATGCTTTATTAAATATACATAAATTATAAATTTCAACGTACACAGAACATTTATACGGCATGATTATTAGTCTGCCGGAAATTTTGTATGCTTTACAAGTACAGTACAAATAAAGACTTCATAATAATTTCATATACATGAATAACTGATAAATAATAAAACAACAAATACAATATAAAATAATAAATATTTTATACTAAGAAAAAATAATAAAGGAAAATAAGGGAAATTATAAACAACAACATGAATAAAACTGACCACAAATAAATTAGATGGATCATTGTGTATGCTGGATGTAGCAAATTAAGACGGTGTATCTATGCATGTCGAGCAAAACTGACAATTATGACATTCGTTCACAGAGAGGGCATTTAGAAGAGAAATTTGGATATAATTTCAAACCAGTCTAGTTCCAAGATATTTGATACAAATTCGAATAAGCATTGAACATTCAGCCAAAAAATGGAACAGATCCTCATTTACTGGTAGGTTACAGAGTGTACAATCTGTATATTCTGTCAAGCCATGGGATGTAATTCAAAAAAAGGAGTTCACACCTGAACTTAAACAACCAACTCAACTCATGCCCAGTCAAATCCCAACAGCAGCCATCCATGAATTTCAGAATTTTAAGATCATGACTCAATTCCCTAGCTTTTACTCTTAATATGTTGTATTAATTAAAATGGTTTTTTTTTTCAGAAGATTTAACCTATGACCCAGGAGATGAGCTATTCCCAATAATGGAAGAACCAAATATTGAGCCAGGCCAAAGGGATCTGTACCAGGAAGAAATGAAAGGCTTCCAAGAGAAATGTCATCCAGTGGAAAGACATATGAATTCCAAATAAAACATGATGAAGCTATTCATTCTTTGTTTCAGGTGGAAGCAAAGTATAAGGCCCTGGCCGCTCAAGAATTGTATAAAGAAACTAAATTTAAGGCCCTGGCTGCTGAAGAAATGTATAAAGTAACAAAATACAAGGTTTCATCTGCTCAAGAACTGTATAATGAAACAAAATACAAAGCTCTGGCTACTCAAGAATTGTATGAAGAAACAAAATTGAAGACCCTCGCTGCTCAAGAATTGTATGAAGAAACAAAATTCAAGGTTTTAACTGCTGAAGAAATATACAATGAAAAACAATTACTCAGCCAGAAAACAGAAACAGAACTTCAAATAAAAAAAATTGAGTTGGAACAATTTATAAAACATCAGCCCTTATAAACTGTATGATTTCTTTTTCTTTTTTCTGTTGGCATTACAGACCATGCAGATCTCCTACATGCCCCACCTATCTTAACCTCTGTGCCTTCATATCATGGGAAATTGATTGATCAGTTTCTGTCAGCAGTTCATTATTGGTCTTTCTGCTCCACCTGTTAGTACTCTGATCCCAGGTCGCTCCGGTTATCGCTATGGAGGATTTTCCTCTCAAATCATTCAACACTTTTTTCTAGGGTGCTGGTTAGTGTCCAAGACTCACAGCCATGTATTAGAACTGGCTTTATCATAGCACTGTACACCCTTAGTTTGAGATTTTTCAGGATTTCAATACCTTTGAGAAGGAGAAGAAAGCTCTGTTTGCGTTAGTTATCTGCTGGTCTATTTCCATCCGTTGGTCATTCATTGAGGTTATTGTGGAGCCGAGGTATTTGAATTTTTCTACTCTCAGGAATGATTTTCCTTCTACGCAGATCCTGTTATTTTTATCCTGGGGTGTAATTTTCAGCTTATTATCATATATTTTGCTTTGTATTCATTTACTTGTAGGCCGATCAGCTCTGCCTCTCTAATCAGTGTTGAAGTGAGTCTCAATGTCTTCTTGATTACTTCGAAGAACAGCTGTATCATCTACGTATCCAAGGATTTTATGATTCATTCCGACATGGACCCTTCCATTTTCTTGTGATGTTGCTTTTATTTCTCTATGGCTAAGTTGAACAACATCGGTGATGATCCATCTCTCTGCCGTAATTCAGATTACTTCTCTTTGTATTAGGACTCTACATTTGGGGTCATTTGTACACACCTTTGTCAATCTTAATAACTTAGCGGGAATTTCCAATTCAGTCATGATTTTCCAAAGACAGCGCTTGTCCACAGGCTGCTTTGAAATTGACAAATAGGGTGTGAACCTCCTGAGCTACTTCATATAGTTTTTTTGAGAACTTGCTTTAGGATGAAGATCTGGTCTAGCGTGTTCCTCCCTTTTCTGAATCCAGCTTGGTGGTCGCTTATTATATTCTCGTAATACATATATATCCGGTTTAGTTGGATATTGGGCATTATTTTGTAGGCGACCGGAAGGAGTGCTATGCCTCTGTAATTACTACACTCATACATGGAGCCTTTAGGAGTGGACAGATTAGCCCCGTATTCCAAGCCTCAGGTATCCTCTCTTTCCATATTTTCTGGATTAGTTGTAATAGCTTGGCTCTTAAGTCGTCTCCAAAACTTTTTTTGAATATTGATTTTTCCGTTTTATATTATTTATTTCTTTTAAATCTTCATAATGTTTTATATTTGTTAATTGTTTTTTATTAGTTATTTATTTTTTGTAAGTAATAATTCTTAATGGAAATATATTAAATTATAACAAATTTTAATTTGTTGATTTTGTATAGGTATACATTGTGTCCCATAGGTAGAGGGAAATATTTAAAAGGTTGATAGTAGACATCAAGATCCACAAAAAAGTTCATATAAGCAATTGGCCAATTTTTAGCAGAAAAGTAGGAAATTTAAGATTTGTATTTTTTCAAATGTCACGTTTTATGTTGAATAGGAAGCGATAACTTAAAAAATATTTGATTTAAGTAATTAAACATTGATCCATAGTAAACTAGACAAAATTTACTTTAAAAGAAAGTAGAGTTTGTCATTGTTAAAACTATTTAAAGAGGACATTTGAGCAGCTAAAAACAACTAAGTTCTGTTTAGAAAAAGTCATAAATTATTTTTGATTTTTTTTCTCACCCTTCAACTGTACATTTACCCCACTTTTACAAAAACCTCATCGTTTAATAAGCTTTAAGTCCATATTAATTAAAGTGAGGTTTATATTGAAAAATTGAGATTCATCTCAAGTTGTGTAAAGAAATGATGTGATTTTCTATCAAGCCACCTAAAAGTACTCGTATTTTCAGCAAAAATGGCTACAATTAAAAGTTCCAAAGCTTTTATTTCTTGTTTTTCATGATATGGGATGCAATAAACATAATTGCCTAAGAACACAACAAGTTTACAAATAACAATTTGTCATATAAGGTGGTTATGAAATTTTTTCCCCAGATTTCTGTCAGCAATTAATGCGGATTTATAAGTGACAAACATAATGTTTCTATCCCTAATATTTACGTTTTCATGAAAATAATTGGAGGAATCAGTAGTGTTCTTTACTTTAAACATAAATTATAAATAAAATGTGTTTTTAGGCAATTATGGTTATTACAATCCATCCCATATCACGGAAAAACAAGAAATAAAAGTTTTTGCAACTGTTAATTGTAGTAATTTTTGACATGAGTACTTTTAGATGGCTGGATAAACATTTCTTTACATAACTTGAGGTGAATCTCAAAACTTGTATGTATATATATGTATATATATATATATATATATATATATATATATACATACAAGTTTTGAGATTCACCTCAAGTTATGTAAAGAAATGTTTATCCAGCCATCTAAAAGTACTCATGTCAAAAATAAATATATATATATATATATATATATATATATGCATTTAATTTTTAGTAATTATTTAAATGTTTTATTAAAATGTATTTCTTATTCAAATTTAAATATTTCCTTATATCCTCTAAATAAGGGTTTTCCAATGTTACATATATGCAATCAATTTAGTTATGATTTTTTCTTAAAATACTGAAAGTCATCACTACTTCTAATAACTGTTGATATTTGCATTAATAATGTTTTTAGGCTCATAAGAATTGATCATTTCTTCCAACTTGTTTTTCCACTCTCAACAAATTTTATTAGTAACATTTTCTCTGCTAAGCTTTTAAATTTTGTATTGATGAAACCAACTATCACTGGCTCAAAAGACATTAATTCCATTTTGTAGTGTAAAAATTCTAGTTTTGCCCATTAAAATGTAACCTCCAACCAGCATAGTAAAATTCCTTTCTTGCTTGTGCAAACCATATTTTTAAATTCTCTCTTAGTTCTTGGTACTCACCTGTCTCGAAATACTTCGATTTGCTGTTTGAAGGTTATTTTTTCCTTGTTTTTTTAAATCGTTAAACGAAGGATTAAATATTAAAATATAGTGTCATAATGTTTGGTTTGATCAAATTTATTTATGACCATTGTCAACTGCTTTAATTATTTTTTTGATTGGTTGGATAGGGATTGTTATAAATCTGCAAGTATATTGTTAAAAATAAACATCACATTAGAAAAATGGAAAGCGCTAGGTTAAGAAACAAGTAGCATAAAAAAAATCAGAAATTATGGGTTGATGGTTGGCTGTAGGGAATAATTGAAGAGAAGTATGGTTGGGATGATCAGTCAAAATAAAAATAGAATTATAATATAATCATTAAAATATAATTATTTATTTTTTATTTTGACTGATCACCCCTACCATCCTCTTCAAAAATCAGAAATGATTACAATTTAACTCGGTTCAACTTGCAAAAGTTCTTTCCTTAGTCTTTATTATGAGTTTTTCTTTTTTGCAAGAGAAAAGTGTTCTTCAAACTGGATTAATGTGTTGACTGGAAGATATATATATATTTTTTTAAATTACCTTAAACTAGACAACAAATTATCACATGTTTATATGAAAATTCGTTTCATGTATTTTATAATTACTTCAAGTTTTAATTTCATGCACTCTGTTTTTTATTATTTATTTGTTAAGCAGTTCTACTGAATTCATTTAGAGACACATGGTTTGAGCTCCATCGCTTGTTTACAGCTACTCTGATAGATAAAAATTATTGTCATTTTTCATGTATAAATATAATTCAAAAGATGACATGGCATTTCACTAAAGTGATTTAAAATATATGGAGAACATTTTGAATTTAGAAATGGGGTGAATGAAAGAGATTATGTTAGTCGTACATTCTTTTAATTTGTCAACTATTGATACCCTTCCTTTTGATTATTTTCCTTTAAGGCCAGTTGTCAGTCAATGTGTAAGTTAGATATAATAATTGATAACCTAACTATCTGTTTGTGTGGCCATGAGAGAGTTATAAGAAGAGGCAATGTACAAGTTCAAGTGTCTAAGAAAAAAGAAGCTTTAGCTCTTTAATAGAAAAGATCCACGTAAATCTCAAACTCATTTTATTTGTTATTATTGTGCAAGAGGAAGATACATTATTAGAAATCATATTAAATGGAAAAGGGAAAGCTAGTGCTTACACCAAGATTATATTTTATACCACTAAAAATCTAATATTTTATCACTGAATTTGACAATTTGGGCTGATATATTGATAATGACAGAAATTATATATAAATAAACCTTAAATTAATGATGTACTATCATTCAATGAATTGTTACAGGTGATTGTATTCTAGATGTTGATTTTGGCGATATCGAGATCAAATCTCTCATAAATAATGAAAGGACGCCCTTTACCCTTTTAAATCTCTGGTATGTTCTGCAAAATCCCCACAAATATCGACAGTTTACTGCATTAGCGGCCCAAGATATATATATATATATCTGCAAAAAAATAGCAAATCTATTTCAATCCCAAAAAAATGTAAGATATTGGTCAACAAAATTATTCTCATAGATCAGCTGCAACACTGTGGAGGCTTATTTAAATTAAATAACTAATATTAATTCTGTTTCTTCAGAGAGGGATATAGAATATTACAATTAACCCTTGAACACCTTTCTAATCAGAATAAAATAACTTGTCCAAGCATAGAGTTTATATTAAAGTAAATTCTGAAGTTTGTAAGGTCCTGTGCATCCAGAAAGGCTCATAGATTAAAGTTTAGATAAACGAAAAGAGCTTCTGCCACTGGTAAAAAAATTTCAAATTGATTTATATGGACCATTCTAGACATCATTTCTGAGCTACCACTATGTCTACTATTTAACGATGATTACCGGTGGCAATCACTAATAATATATTTCTTTAAGAAAAACCTGAAGTAGTTAAAAAAATATTTAGATCTTTTAAAATGGGTATCTTCAGGTAATCATCAAATTTAAAGTTTTTTATCTGATAACGAAGGTGAGTTTGACAATATGTTAATGAAGGAAATTCTGTATAAACATAGGACTGCTGAACTATTTATTATCTATGCCTGTGCCATATTGCCCTAAAATGAATGGTTTCATTAAAAGACAAAATCGGACAATAGTCGAAGCTGTTAGATCCATGCTCCATTCTTCTCAGTTATTATATGGGCTGAATCTATAAGCAAAGCAGTATATATCCGTTATACATAGGTTAGCTAAAACGAATGTAGATGATAAAATGTCATTTGAACCATTGCTTATTGAAGGTTCAATACGAAACCTTTGATTAAACATCTTAGATAATAGGATCTGATTGTTTACATCCACATCCTAAACTAAAAGATATATAGAAAATCTATCAAAAGGATATTAGTTGGATATTGTATCCAGAACCTGCAAAGAACAATTATTAGGATTAGAGATGTTAAATGAGGTCCCATGAACATTACAGTTATTTAACAAATAAAATAAAAGCCACAGTGAAAAAGGAGAAGAAAAAACAAAGAATTCCCAAAAACTGGAAGGTCAAAAAAAGGATGATTAGAAGGATCCTGAAGCCAATTTTAATGTATCTTCCAACTGTGATGGGGATCTAAAATGAGTTCGAATTAGGACTATTTGAAGTGTGGTTACATGCAAGAAAATGAGTCTAGCTCAATTTAACATTTTAACTGCATTTCCAAAAGGCAAGCTAGACAAAAAATGAATTATTTTCATACAGCAACCTAAAGGCTTGGTAGTAATAGAGTTTGCTAACTCATCGAAAGTCTCCACAGGTTGAAACAAGCAGCCAGGTGTTAGTATCAGCAATCCCGTGATTTTATGAATAAATCGAAATACGCTCAAAAAAGCCACTAATTGTATATACTTATTAAAAATGAAAATGTGAACTAACTTATTTTAGCGTCTCATATAGATGATGGGTATGTTGCATCTAAAAGTGAAAATAGTTAAAAGGTATTTCTTGAAGACTTGACCTTTAGAGGTTTAGACTCAGAGCTAATAGCAAGGACTGGGATAACATAAAATTTAAATTTTTTGGAGACCTCTGCTTGAAAGCTTCGACTAAATGTGGTAGTGTAACTTGCTATGTTATTTAGTATCATCTCTGGAAATTGCTTTAAAAGTGGAAAGTTTCAGTGTCAATATGTTGCCTACTTAATCATTCTCAATCTAATGGTGCCAGTTCGAATTTAGTCTGGAGGCGTAGACATTTATTTTCTGGGAGACCTAAGTAATGAATATAAAACCTTCCTACTCGGGTAGAATAAGTTTTTCAAACCTCTAAAATACTATGTTTTATTGTCAAATTACAGTTGGTAAATTTTACTCTAAATTTGTGGCATAACCTAAGACTAAATTAACTTGTACAACATAATAGTTCTAAATGTAACAAAGAATTTGATATAACCAAACAGCAATGATAAAGTGACAGGTAATTATTATCTATTATTAGAAAATTACAACTTTGATCATAGTATTACATGTGACTTTGTACAAATTTTATTTCAATATACAGATGATGATTTATAGATAAATTCACGTAAGAGAATACATTAAAAATTCAAGGTTTCAAGTGGCCTAGAGAACACTCAAACACTTTCTCTAACATTTCATCACAGATTTTCTTGTTTTTTTTTTTTTTCAGAAACAATTATAATTCATTATTTATTAATATAACAACTAAGTATTCTTTTACAGTTATATACATATGTATATGATATATATTAAAACAAGCTCAAATTATTAAAAAAATATAGAATTTCTTGAATTCCCTGAGAGGACTGGAAACTGAGCAAAGCTGTAATGTCATTGAACAAATGGTAAAGGAGTTATTTAGCGAGTTCAATATTCGGTAAACTTTGTACATAAACATGAAAAAAAAAGGATTGTTTCATGAGAAACTATGATGAACCCATGAATCGTATGGATAACTCTTAGCATTACATTCAATGACAGTGTTTGTAGGTTTAATTCGGGTAGGCTTATCACAACAAAATATCATCCGCATGTTGTCACCATCTTCGCGATAAATGCCAGGAATTGGTTCTGCAAACATAAAATAATGACAATAAATAATATATTATCAATCAATAAGATATAGTCGTAATGTTTGAAGTCTTTTATGAAAGGATTATCTTATTTACAGATTACAATTGTAATAATAAGACTTTGTGAACTATAATTTTTGAAATAAACAATTTTTGCCAGCATACCTCCTCTCTTCTCACCTTCAACTATACCCTGATAAAATTGCTATCTTCAAAGTAATTGATGAAAAAGTTTGTCTATTTATGTCTAGCCCTATCCCTCAGGGATTTACCAACTGATTCACTTATTAACTTGTTATAAATCCTTTAATTATTAAACCTGGCCATTTTAACTATCACAGTCTTAACATTTGAGTGATTTTATATGAAAGACAGACATTTATCTTTTTCAGAAAATTTAGAAAAAAAGAATTATACAGCTTCAATCTTAGTTTTTTTTATTTTCTTCTTAATTTAACTTAAACATTTAAACTTTCTGAAGATGACAGATATCTGCTTTTGATAAAGAAATTCTATCTTTCTAAATTCTACAAGTTACTCATCTTACTTGGGCCACCTGAATAAGATCCGAAAATTTCCAGAATGATATTTACCATGCCCTCTTCAATCTTAATATTACACTACTTCTGGAATTGAATACAGTGTAAAATTATTGAAAGCTGATGAACTTCAAGAATTTTTTTTTCTTGTTGAGTATGCCTTGCCACACCGTTTGGATCAAACTGGATTGTAATTTAAAATAATAACACAATCTAAATAATATTCGAGTCCCAAAATTCCTTATCGACGGTTGTGTAATTGACTTGGTTTACGATAATACTGAGTTTAACAGAAGAGAACCAATTCCACATTGCACATTTAGAGTTAACACAAGTTAATGGCACCAGAAAAATCTGGAAGCTTTCATATCAGTATATGAGATATTCTCAAAAAAAGCTTCATTTTCGGTGTTGAAATTTCGTGTAAGTAAACCATCTTCGAAAATTCTTCAAATTTTCATTTGGCTTCCTGAGATCATAAAGAAGTATATAAAATGTAAGATACAGCTCAATTTACTTTTTCAGTCGATTTTATTTTATTTTATATTAAAAAAAAAAAAAAAAATATACCGTCATATTCAATTAAGAACCAGTAAAAAATGTCTTTAGATATTTTCAAAAATAAAAACTTCAAATTTGTTTGCTGAAAAAGTTACTTTATGTAATATAGTGTCATCTAACATAGACAATTTAGATTAAGAGAGGACGCTGGGGCATGGGTCCCAGAGTGGAGCCCGGTTCTGAACACTGTGGGTTCGATTCTCACCATTGATGTTTGGTCGGTTAATTTTCATTTCTCAGCAGCCCCGGGAAATAATTCTTGATATTTGCACTCTGGTAAGTACATGGGAGCAACCTCAAAGTAGCTGTCAGGGTCGGCAAAAAGAACTCAATAGGGCCCATTTGCTGGACTAGTTCCCACCACCAGTAGCAGTAGTAGCAGATTAAGAAGAGTTCCTCAGCCAAAACTTTAAAAAACATGTTTTAAAATTTCTACAGTGAAATATCTCTTTTTACATTTTTTCATCACCGTTTCTTCCTTACAACCAAAACGAATCTTTCTTTATTGCTCACCGTCGATTTAATAAATAGACTTTTTGTAATTATAATGGTCTTAATGACTTGTTATCTGTAAGCTTTATTAAGCTGTAGCTGAGTTAAAAATGCAATTAATTAAAAAAATCTATAGTAGCCCAACATGGCTAGAAAATAATTACTATTCAAAGTTTAGCGGTAAGTGAAAGTTGTGTGTTGCACGCACAAGATTTTTCCAATTATAATGGTTTTTTTTTGTTTTTTTTTTGTGTTCTTATCTTGCCTTTATAGGCTATATGGGAATTTGGCGGTGAGGAAGGCGTGGGATTAATACCAGAGTAAACAGACTCCTGGGCACCGGGATGCGAAATTGTAATTGCGTAGGTTGCCGGGCAACGCGCAGTGCTGTGTACACATGTTAGCCCGCTGGTCCACCCTGCTCCTGGTTTCATCCTATTGAAAATAGTCAACTCTAATCCTATTTAAAACATCTCAAATTCATTTTTGAATAATTTCTGGATTTTCCCTTCTACTAAATACCCTGCAATAATTGTTGCAGTTAATTGTTGTTTTTGGACTTAATAAAGATTAATAGCACAGCAATATTAAAAAACAAAAATAAACCAATTAAAAAAATAAACAATAAAAACTCCTACTCATAGGAAACTTACTAGGAGCCCTGCAATTCCAGCATTTCATCCAAGGTTCCTCCTCATCATCAGAATCCTTACTGCCTTTTTCAACTGCCACAAACACTGCTGAATCTGGTTCAACAGCTTCACCGATCAAAGGGTGCTTGGGCTCTTCATTTTTAAGGGCTCCAGTCATCCTTCCGGGTGGAAGCTGTGTGGCTTCGATCACATCAGGTAACTCTGTTTTCTATATCACCAAAGTATAAACAACACTTAATTATAGAAATTAAACATAAAATGTGTTATATAAAATATACTTGTAAAAAGATACCTTTAATATATTTTTTTAAATTTATGGGACACTATTTTGAATAGATGAATGGAGAAAGAAGTTATCTTCGTATGATATATCAAAGGTTCTGTGTAACAATGGGAAATGTCTAATCATTAAGATAAGTTTAGAAACACTTGTTATAACATAAAATGAATAATCTTTCTCCAACAACAATGTTAATATGAGAAGGAGTCGGGGGGTGCGGTGAAATAATTACTAAATTAAAAAAAAAAAGGATTTGAATTGTTATACCTAGGAATATTGTGCCTCCATGACTCCATCAAGAGCTTCAATTGAAATAAAATTGATTTCAGCCACTTTGTTATTAATTTTATAATATTTACCTTTAGCCATATATTACTCTGTTTGAAGTATTAACATTGTTAATGATGCAGAGATGGTTGACCGTGATATAATATGAGAAGGAGTTGGTTGGGTCAAATAAATACTAAATTAAAAAAAAAAAAAAAAAAGTATTTTTAATAGTTACGTAGACGTTTCGACCCACTTTGTAGGTTTTCATCAGGGCTACAACAGATACAAAAAATAAAACGTTCATGGTGAAAATAAAATAAACGAATAATAAGTAGATATTAAACAAAAAACAGTTGCCTGATAAACAAATAATAAGATGACATCAGAGATATGGTGGGTGATAGTGTAGTAAAAACATCAAGTATTATATATATATAGAAGATACAAACAAAAAAACAAAACAAATATGAATAAAAATAGAAAACAAAGGAGAATATACCTTTTAATTTACATACTATATTCTCTTTGTTTTTTATTTTTATTCATACCTATTTTCTATTTTTGTTTGTATCTTCTATATATATAATACTTGATAACTACACTGTCACCCACTATATCTCTGACGTCATCTTATTATTTCTTTATCAGACAACTGTTTCTTATTAAATATCTACTTATTATTCATTTATTTTATTTTCACCATGTACCTTCTATTTTTTGTATCTTTTGTAGCCCTGATGAAGACCTACAAAGTGGGTCCAGACGTCGGTGCAACAATTAAAAATACTATTTTTTTTATAATTGGGTATTTATTTGACTGCACCCCACAACCAACTCCTTCTCATATTATATCATGGTCAACCATCTGTACATCATTAACAATGTTAATACTTCAAACAGAGAAATATATGGCTAAAGGTAAATATTACAAAATTGATAACGAAGTGGCTGATATCAATTTTATTTCTATTTAAGCTCTTGATGGAGTCTAGGAGATACAATATTGATAGGTCTCTTTTTGGTTATGGGGGAGCAGGTCTCTCCAAGATGAGAGAGTTCATTTCCTCTCATAATAACTAGAATATTTGTAGGAAAAATAAAGGATGGATCACAAGATGAAATATATAATAATGATATATTAACAAGTTTTTCATGAAATGGTGGACGATAGATTCTTGAAAATGGGTCAAGAAGCCGAAATGTTGGAAAGAAATATAATAAAAATGTATTTTATTGGTGACCTTTGGCCTAAAACCTATTAAATAAAAACATATTCAGCAAGCAGGTCTGTTTAGGGGTAAGAATATCAGTATTTTGGTTTACTAAAAAGAGAACTAAAATTCCAGATGCTAAATTTCATGCTTATATCTCATGTTTCAAGGAAGTTACTTTAGATTGCTCATAATAAAAACTAAGTACCTCCAGACATTCAATTTCATTATCTGCTTCCAATACTAGCGTGAAATTTAAGTCTTCTTCTTCTTCACTACTGGAGTTATCTTTCCACCAGGTACCTAAATCTTCCAATTCATCAGCACTGTTAATGTCCATTTTCTCATCATCGCCTATATTTGGGACTGTTTCCCTGGCAAAATCGTCCAGTGTTATACACAAACCTACAGAATTAAATAATATATCCTAATTTAAATAATTGAGACAATAAAAACTTGTTTCACATTATTTACTACATAGTTAAGTACAATATAACATATAAGTTTTGCATTTAATATTTAACTAATACAAATTTTAAATCACCAACTTTTAATAAGATTTGCTGTAAAAACAATGCTTCAACTATTAGTTGACTGATTCTTCATTAGGATTAAAGAGGTCTGATTGCATGAAATTCTCACGCAAATGATTGGAAAAGATTCGGAGCATGATATCTTTCAATATCGGTAATTGGAATTTCATAATTTTACATTTTGAAAAGACAATTTTATAAAGGTGCAATAATAAACTAAAAAAAATAACAAACTTTTAACCATGGGTATATTATGATTCTAAAACGCATTTGATTTTTTTTCCAACTTCACAAATGGCAATGATATGGCCTATGAAATTTCTCATCAACCGCCATGAAAAGGAGGATGGTAATGGTAAGTTCTGAGATTCTTCCTGGATTGCCCTGTGACTTGGGTACCAAATCTAAAAAAAAACTGTATTCTCGGAGAAAATCAGAGAACATATATTTTTTATTAGAATTTTGGATGGCATGTATAATGAAACAGATTTAGAGAAAAGGACTTTACAGATATAAAATGTAGACAATTTTTCATTTTTGTGGATTTGACAACTTTATTTTTTATCAGGGTTTTATTGAAAAAAAAAATTATAGCTTTTGAATTATTGGTGAAAAACCACAATAATGTCAAATTTCACATTATTTTTGAAAAAAAAAAAAACAACATAAGTTCTGTGGCATAATTCCTGTCAGAAAACCTCAGTTACGCACCCAGAGACCCAAAAAAACTGGGGTATACCAAAATATACGACTACAACAAAACTTTCCCATATTTTTTCTATATTATGTATATTTCTCACTAAAAGGGCTACCTAAGATATACATTTGTACCTGTTTCCGCTCAGTTAAAATCTGTTATAAAAAGTCAATTTCATTCTCTTAACTGTCAAAATTAGATACTCCATAATTAAAATTGAAGGGACATATTATAATAGCCCGTAAAGACTTTTGCTACAGGATTTCCAACCATGCCGAATTCCCAACAAATACCTAATAGGTAGATATCTTGCGGTAATTCAACTAACCCATGTTAATCAGAGATAGGATCACCCAGAATAAGGAGATATAAATCTAATGACTAATAGGTTCATAAAAGCTCAGTCTTTGAGCTATGATCTATTAAGTTGATCTCATGCAAGATCAATGATCGGGAAAGAAAATAATAATGTAATTTCGAAATATTGCATTGCAAGTCAATCTTTACTTACAGATGACTCAAATAGAAATATTACTTACATGTCAGTTAAGGAGTTATCAGATGAGGAAACTGCATTTTTGTGAGTCAGAGAGACCGCTAAAACAGTGCCATTGGGGTTTAACTTCACCGCTACATCTACTTTGTTAGACGTGAACAGCTCCAGAGCTTTCTGGTCATTAGCGAGCAGCTTTCTCACACCTTCATAAACTGTCATGTTTCTGTTTGTCTTGGTTTTATGATCGAAGACAGTAATTTGAGAACTGCATGGAATTATCTTCTCTTTTCTGTCCCTATATGAAAAATATATATAAAAACATTAAAATAAGCATTGTTAGAACAAAAAATGAAATAAATAAAAAAAAGTTATTATTCCTTCAAATCTAAATAGTAGTACCAGAGAACATCAATTTCTCAGTGTTTTTCCTAGATTTTTAATAGTTTGATATTAGTCATAAGAATTAAAAGAACATAATTTGAAATAAAAATTCTTGCTTATATTATAATAATAATAACAAAAAAGGTCTTATGAGTTATTGAAGGAGGTTAGTTGACTGTTCTACATATCATGTATGATAAATATTCAGAACACAGTCATCATTGGTGAATATGATATGAAATAAGTTGAATCCTGAAGATGCTCATGTCATAGGGACCTATGGTTAGAATATTCTTTTCTACTAAGTCTCTCTCTATGTATATATATATATTTATACTATATATATTTATACTATAAGTATCAGGACTTATAATTTGAAAAGTTTAAGGGAAGAATATAAAATAACTGTAAAAGTAGTAATAAAACATGGCATCAACATAAAAAAGTGATTAATGTTTCCACTGTTCAAGTAAATCTGAAATCCAGAGTACATTTATTTATTTTTTCTTAGTGATTCGTTTTTATCCCTTGCTGTTTGGTTGTTCTTGTTTTGTTAGTTTCTGTGTAAGATTTGCAACAATGATAAAGCTGATTCTCCAATTAAGGAACAGCTTTGGGCAACTTCCTAAATGTAGTGTTGAGATCATTAAAGAGTAACGGAAATCCACCAAGCTGTTCCCAAACACATCAATGTAACAGCGGGAAAAATACTAAATGAAACACTGAGACCATAGATGAGCATTGGGAATGCAATCAATTAGCGCTGGGTTCAGGAACTTACTCATATTTGTATCAGAGGGACTCAAGGTTGGTGCAAAAGAAGTAGTAATATAAATTAAATTCAGGTATCCAAGTGGCACTAATTCCAGCCGGGGCAAGTTCAAATTTATTTTGTGGCAGACCTGTTGAATGAATCCGATCCTTCCGACTAAATTGTTGCTTATCTGTAGAATAACTACCATGTGCATCAGAAATAGAAAGGGAAGGAAAAATAAACAAACAAATAAGTTGAATGGAGAACCAAATCTTTTAAGCCTGTTTAAAACCAGTAAAATTACTTGAATATTGATTTTTCAGTGATAGTCACACTAAAATGTTTTAAAATACTATCTGACAATAGTACCACATTAAGTGATGAACACAAGATAAAAAATAAATTACTAGTTCTAAAATCGTGAAAAATTAACTACAGATTTTAATTAATTTTTCAACAGCAATTTACATCATGCTTATAGAAAAGATTTTGCTGCATAGAGAATATAGAATCATTTAAAAACTGAATTGGAAACTAGTTTTCATACGAATGCATTTGACAAAAGTAAGAAAAACCAGAAAGATTATGAAGATACACTTACATGATGTGGTTCCGGATTCATAATTACAATTCAAGATTAAAAATACTTCAAAAAGAATTACAATAAAAAATTAAAAATGGATAGAACTGCCATAACTTTTGTGGGAAACGTCTAAATTATCACAAAATATTATCAAAAGTTATCACAAGACAGTTAAAATACCATAAATTACAAATTGTTGTGAGAACTCATTATTATTCCAACATGAAACCTAATAGTGCGGTTATCTCCAGGGTTACCAAATGAATCATGAGTTTTCCTCTCAGAACTTATATAAATTTAACGTATATAAATTTTCCTCTAAATCCGCTAACTTTATTCCTCAACGTTTAGTTTTTATTATTCTACTATTGTATCCAAAATTATTTCTCAAGAATTATAAAACAGGTTATTGATTATATGTGCATAACGGCTTTTTAACATCTAAAAATTTTGGATTAAATGTGGATGTATTTTTTTCCAGATCTACGATTTGTCCAGCAGGAGTGCCCAGAAGGGGATTTCATGGGGCGCAAGGTGCGCCATTAAAATTTTTTAGGGGGACAAATTTTGACAGGTTTTTGATTTTTTGAGGGGAGCAAATTTCGACGGGGTTATAAATTTTCGGACCAAGGGACAAACGGAATACATGGAACAGAACGCAGCAAGTGTAATTGTATATGATCTACGATTTTTTCTAATTCTATCTTAGCTTGATTTGTTTTTAAGAAAAGGTGACTAATAAAATATCTGGGGAGGAGGGAGGAGGAGGGGAGGAGGTAGGTTCTTGCGCCATTAACCTTGGGGAGGATGGGCACTCCCTGCTGATTAGAGGTCATTATTTCTTTTAAAAAGTTGAAATAGTCTCTGTGTTTGTGAATGAATAGTGAAATTTTGGGGATACCTTGAAGGGTCTTCCATACAATTGTGAAAAAATATTTTGGTTGCTTACCTGAATTTGAAATGTTTTGCCGAAATTTCATCATTAGAAAAGCTAATGTAATAACTTGTTTCCATCTTAAGATAACCCAGTAGATATTTCCCCGAAAACGGGGACGATATGTTCGTGGATTTGAAAAAAAAAAAAAAAAAAAAATATGTTTACTGTATAATCAAATATTTCTGTTTATTTACAGAAATATCTCTGTTGATGGAATGTTCTTCGTCTTTGTTAACCGCCTTCCACTTACAACAGTCTCTCCGTTGCAATAGTGGAACTTAAAAGGCTATTGAAAACTTCCCGAATTGATTTGTTCGACTCATACGGAAACCATCCCTGTATACAGTTGAAAGGACCAGAAGAGGATTAGAGTAATTATGTTTTATAAGATTTCCGTAATGTGGTAGAAGAGAAAAGATCAATTGAAACCAGGCCAATAAATCTTGTGAAGGCACTAAAAATATGATTTTAAAAATAAATCATTGATTTGCCGAAGATTAAAAACAAATATATTGTCTCCAAAATTAAATATGTATTTTAAATTCAACTAAGCAGCAAAGATAATTTTTCAAAACTTTATTGACGAGCCTTCAAAGTAGTTCTAAATTTATTTAGCAATTTCTCAATCCTATCAAATATATCCAAGGAACTAAAAATATTTGTCAGGTGTGGTATTTCTGGGCCACTTCTGTCAGAACAATACTTTCAGATAAATTTTTTGTATTGCTTATGACGTAATTTTTTCTACAAAGTTATCGAAATTAAATTTTTTCTGGTTGTTACAAACCATCAAGATACTTGGTAGGATTTTCTGAAAGACTCTTCAGGGTTGTTTTAAGACTGAAATAAACTATTTTACAAGCTTATGATGTAAGCTAGCCAAATATCTAAATGTTTTTATATGAAAGGCGTAACAAAATCAACATTATTTGTATCGTTTTTAAATGAAGAGTTTGAAAAATTCCGCAGGCTGAAGCCACCTTAGGAAATTATTAAACAAATTTTTCTTTGATCTAAATGATTAGAACTTCCATATTTTCTAGTCAAACCTTCTGTTGATTATTAGGTAATAGAACAATTGTAGGATCCTGAGTCAATAATGTTTCTTGTTTGTGTTTTTTATTTCATCGATGACTTCACCTCGTAGCCATACTCTATTACAATTTCTTCCTCGGTCAGCAATATTTCAGGCGATTAATCATAGATTAAATGGTTTAGCTTAAACGCTCGATGAAGGATCTATTCTCCATTAGGAAAAAAACAAAACAACAAAAATGTTTTTTTCAGATGTATTACAAGCAACAATTGATATTAGTATAAAGGAGAGCTTCAATAATTTTTTTTTTATTTAAAACTAAAAACTACGCAGCTTAAGAGATATAATATTACATAAATTACTATCGTGGAGTGTATCATTTTGATGGTCATTTAATGCTAAATAGATATCGGTAACAATTAAATTATGTTATCATTAAATCATCTTTAAAGGTAGCATAAAATATTGTATGTAAAAAAAATATATTGTATTAATATATAACAGTTACATAGTATAAGATAAATATTAACAGTTTAAAATTGATACTGTTGTCTACATTGTCAAAAATATAAATATAATAATTATTATGACTGAATTTTACAAATCTTTGACGTTTCTATAAAGTTCCTTAACCTGGTCGTTATATCACACTTTATTTGGATTTGAGCTTCAAAACTAATAGCTAATATGAAAATATTGAATTTCTTTACATTTTTTTTTATGTTCACATAATTTGAATCGACTCCAGAGATGATTAACATTTGAGTGTTCTCACAGTTTCCATAAAGTTGTGAATTGTTGTTCAGTAGGGATCAACTGGATTCACTCTAGGCTGTCATCATGTTAAGATAGTAGTATGTAGCCTTCACCAACTGAACATGACAAATAATTATTTTCACATTTGAAACAAAATGTTCGAATCAGCACATAATTAACAATTAACTAGTTTTAAGATTACTTACTGCCATGTATGCTTCCTTTCCCACCCTCTGCCCAAGTAAGAGCTTATAAAACATAGGCTCGCATGACCTCAGCAATATGAACCTTATCGTAGAATGGCACTCTTTGGGAAACTTGTACCATTCGATGGCGTAAGCTGTTTCGGACACTGTCAACAGCTGAAAAGATTTATTATATTCAATACAAATTTGCTAATATTAATTTTGTCCTTAAAATGCATTTAAAAAATAAAAATAAAAAAGATAATTGGGTAGGTATTGCATCAAGCGAGTTTATACGCTTACTGGCACAGGCCGATCTACCGGAGGAGGGAGGGGGTGGATTTCGGGCTTAAGCCCTCCCTCCCAAATGGGAAAATATAACCACGTTTTATGAAAAAAATTATCCCTAAAAGTAATATTATTCGTCTAATTACATTTAATAGGGCTTAAGGAATCACTTAAACACCATTTCATATAGGTACTTGGCTTCATTCATTCTTCCGAAGTAATCATCTTAATATATACATAAAAAAAATTTTTTTGGGTTGAAGCCCCCACCCCAAATAAAATACTGGATCCGTTAGTGCTTACTGGTCATGGTTTTTTAACTTTTAGAGTGACATTTTGTTGTTTATTTTATGTAATATTGCTGCTGTTCACCTGGAATGTATTAATTATTTTTGAGATATTTTATGAAATTCATTTGAACATTCATTATAAATGAAGAAGTATATAGATAACGAATTGAAATTTGATCATTGGCCGGATAAGCTTCTAGCTGCTACAATTAAAATTTTTGGTAGAATCAGGATTTCGCTGGAACATACTTCTAATGCACTGATAATAATGATTTTGCTAAATTATGAAATAAACTAGAACGTATATATATTGTATGATTTTCTCTGCTCTTTCCTAGAATTAAGAATTAATAGTACATAATAACACGTATAACACGAGTTTTCTAATAGTGAGGATAGAAAAACAAAAATAATAAAAATAACAAGTATAGGTATTCATCTATATTTTTTTTTTTTTAAAGTAACCTTATCAACGAAATAACTTGAAGTGAAATACATTAAAAAAATAATGTTGAATCTTACTTCATTTGTCGTTTCTTCTGCAATGTCAAACAAAACAAACAGGTAACCTAGTAAAAGTAATGTCATCCCTAAATATCTCACTTTAAGTGCGAAATTATCCTGAAAAAACAAATAAATGACATGTTTGTGTTAATTTGAAAATATTTATGTAATGTATTATACTTAACTTAATTTTGGAAAGTGTTATCTATAAATTAATAAATTAAATTATTACACATTCCTCCAATAAATAATTTTTAACATTACAAATTTCCTGTTTAGTAAAGTAGCCATAATTTTATTTATTAATATATTTTTTTTTTTGTTTTAATATTACAGAAAAGTTCATTCTACCACTTAAGTTTGGGAAACATTTATATTCTAGGAATACGCTCAATGAATAACTGTGAGATAACTTAAGACTTCGTTTAAAGATTTCGAATCTGATACAATTGATTTCACTAGAACAGACTTATTTCATAATATGACATGGATTTACAACATTTAACGACATATAAAAATTACTAATTTACACATTATTTATATTGTTATTTACTATCTGTATTGGATTTTTACAAGTACATTTTTTACAATGTACATTTCTTAATATATATATTTCAATTTTGGTGAGAAAAGAATCATAGAATTTTCACAGCGCTTGTTTGTTTTTATCAGGAAATGGTAACATTCCAGACGTCGTCGTAATAATCTGATGTATGGTACCTTACTCAGGAATGTTTTTTAAAAATAAAAATACTTTTTTAATAAATAATAAATGTTCAGAGATAGCAATAGTTTGTTTAATATATTAATAATATTTAATACGTAGCATACTGTTTTAAAATTACAAAATATAGGATATATTGGAAACACTTTTTTTTTATTTTAAATGTTAGTGTAAATCGATTGTAGTTCTTCAAGGATAAGATATTACAGTAACCATGACTAACAATAACAGTTTACAACTCACATGTTCATACAATCAATCCAATATTGATTAAATTAATTTTTAAATGAAGAAAAATATGTTAATTAACTAGCTTTACTGGCCATGTGTTGCTGTGGTTTAGACTGGCTTAATGGAAAAGAAAGACTTCAACTTCCAATTTGTCGAGGAAATTTTTTACTTTGGGACGCTGTTGAATTAATCTAATAATATTCAACCAGAGTTTCAGCAGCGGATTATGGCCGTGAAAACAGATGCTATTTATTATGAGCGCCAGAGGCATTTAAAAAGCCAATCTCTTTCTAGGACAACCAAGATACGTATCTATAAGATCCTATTCAGGCTCGTCTTCACATATTTATCAGAGTGCTGGACGATGGCGAAAGCATTAGAACCATTTATATTGAGAATTGAAAGAAAGAGTTTGAGAGGGATTAGGCCAAAAAGAAGGTGTTTCAACGGTGTATGGAAATTGAGAAACAATTTTGAGCTTATGAATCTCTACAATCTTGATATCGTCTATTTAATAAAGACTGGACACAGGACATGTTGCATGCAGGAGAATAATGAAGGCCCCAATCGTCCCTAGAAGCAAACATATTTGGACGTAGAAGAGTTGGTAGACATCGTATATGCTCAGACACTGTTGGAATATGAAAATGGAAAAGAGCTGCACAAAACAGAGACGACAGGTGGCTCTGGCTGAGGGAATCCTTGATTCTTCATTGAGTTGTAGAGATATCAAAGAATATGTTGAGGAGACTATATCTCTGCATCAAATCGCCTCATTTCGATGATTTATTATTTATTTTTTAAGAAATTCAGGATGATTTACAATACTCATGGATATAATGAACCTATTTATTTTATTTTTCTCTTGCTTCGTAGTACGGGTAGTTATGATTACTTACTAGCTGAGGGAAATGATGTAGAGTCCGGTTTCTCTCAGTCGTTTGGTCCGTATTGCTTCAAAAGCGGTGCAAGTCGTGACGATCTGCTCAACAGTTTCCGGGGACACCACAACAGGGATAATGGATATAATGAACCAAAAATTATATATCTTTTGAGTTGTTAGCATAAAAAAAATCTGAAACCATCGTACATTTTTTCAGCCTTATTTGGGGGAAGCATGTATGCTATGTATATATTAAAAAGGATTCAAGGGGATGATTGGTCAAGTTTCATTATAATCGTTACAGGCGTTTTGGGGCTAAGATCTATATCGAATAAGCAATTGGTGAAGACCTTTTGTAGATTACCGGTTTTGAACAAACGAATAATTACATTTTTCTTTTTTCCTGGGAAGTTGTCAATTTAAATTTGGTTACTTGGCAATAATAACTTCCAGATGTTAACAATTCGAGTATATTTTTAACGTTACATGTTAATAGGCTAGTTTACGTTTCGAGACCTTTATTCCCATCTTCAGAACTTACAATATACAGAAGTTACAATATTGTGCTTGTTACATTATATATTTGTATAATGTTTGTTACAATAAATTTGTAATGACCTTAATTTTAATAAAAATGATAATTTTAGCCTTGCATCCACAAGGTTATTGGAATTGCAGTTCTGAAGATGGAAATAAAGGTCCCGAAACGTAAACTAGCCTGTTAACATGTAACGTTAAAAATATACTCGAATTGTTAACATCTGGAAGTTATTATTGCCAAGCAACCAAAATTACATTTTTATTTATATAGATTAATAAAAACATTTTTACACCACTACGTAAGAATAAAAGTCTAATGCGTGCAAAACTCAACTTTCACTTACTGCTCTGCTTCAAAAAGAAATTCTTGTCTGGCAAAATTGGGCTATTACAAGAAGTTTTTGAAGCGCATTTTCAATCGGACGAAACCTCGAAAAATATATTTTTGATTTTTGGATATATTTATCAATACAAAACTCCTTCAATAACATAAAACCTGTTTGTTATATCCATTATAGGAAATAAAAACCTATATTATTAAAGTCTATTTCAATCACATAACTCCAGTCTCTGAGATTTTTAGACAAAGAGAGATTTGAGCGTACATATATTTTATTATGAATAAGTAAGGTAATACTGCACAATAAAATTTATAGAAATTAAATCTCTATCACTTTTTTAATGTATTTAAATTATTATTTTCTACTCTTGGTAACTTGTTTAGTAATTTTAACGAAAAAGTTGCAGTCACATCTGAGCCATATCTGTTTTAAATACGTAGTATCAGTTTCTTACGACTCTTCGTTTTTGAGCTAGGCTGTTAACACACACACACACCCACACTCACAGACCATTTTGTGGGACCTTTTGTGGTTATTTTGACTCAGGGGATCTCAAAACGTGTACTTACGTTGAAATTTGAGATTCGAAAATTTTCACGATCGCAATACTTTCCCTTACTATATATTACATATATAGGCAAGTGAAAGTGAAAAGGATTACATTTTCGAATATTTCGAAAAATTTTTAATCTGAGTTTTCAACGGAAATACACGTTTTGAGGTCTCCTGAGTCCAAATGACCGAATCACGCCAATTGGTCTGTGTGTGTGTATTTTAAAAAAACGAAAAGTAGTACGAAACTGATATTACTTATTTAAGATAAGTATATGCCTTAGATGTGACATCAACTTTTTCTTTAAAATCGGCTAACTGGAAGTTCCGCTTTATATCAGCGCTGAAACACATTTTCACAATTTTCTCAAAAAACGCCTCTAACAATTTGGATTAAACTCGATGTATCATTGTATAATTAAGTGGTCTTTAATATCATTTAGGTCTTACCCCCATTGATGTCACTTTACATGGCTTAAATGACCAATGTTCATATACGTCTTCCTCTAAACACCTTTAATACTGTTTATTTAAAAAAATTAACACACTGTTATTTACAGTAAATATTTGAAATGGACAAATATGAATTTTGAAAAATATAATAATTGGAAACAAAGTAGAATCGGAGGAGAAAAGAAAAATACTTACTCAGCTTGAAAATGAATCTCCGGAAATAACAGTCAGAAGATATACTTATAACATATCGTTGGGAAGCGGAGAATTTTGAAAAAATAATATCAAATAAATAAAGTTGCAGAAAGTAACGGAGAGTGACGAAAAAATATAAATAATAATTTCAGAAAACTAAGGTTATTTAACGTAAATCACATGTTTCCAAGCAAATTAAATTAAATTTTCTTACGAAATGTAAACTTTTCAATTTTTTTGTAAGCTTGAAAAAAGTATTTAAAATCCGCCAAATCAAGCCAATGCCAATGTTTAAAACACTATATCACTGTGAAAGAAGAAGTGAAATATAAAAACATTTCATGAATGTATTTATAACCTTAAATACATTTACTATGGATATTATTTCATTGGCAATTTGAAATATTATTTCAGAAATAACCATCATTTCGGAAATATGCATTCATAAAGTAATCATAGGATTTATTTTAGAAATAAATTATTTCAAGAGTGCCCAGTTCTAATCAGATTTAATCTAATTTTGTTCACTGTGCATCGCATGTACTAGTTAGGTTAGGCTAAAGTGGTAATACCAAACCGTCTTGCGGGTACTGTATACATTCAGTGCCTTGTGTAGCATAACATTGATATAATAGGTCGTTCCAACGATTGATATGGATTCACGTCTCAAGGAGATTCTGGTTTTTGTTGTAAAATTTCTCGACTGATACCAGTGGGTCGAGCTAGATCTTTTCAGTTTGGTGCTTAATTTTTTTTTTTAATCAATATCCTTTTACAATAAGATTTCAATTAAAATCATAAAATTCTATGCCCTATAACACCAAGTGGGAACTTCGATGTTGAGTAGGTTTCCTAATTTTCTAAAGGTGGCTCTGGTAATATGAGCTTTAACTTTAGGTAAGTTTTAAGTGTAACAATGAGATCAGTTATTCAAAAACCATAATTTTTCTATCCTAGGCTTGACGTATATCCCACTCAATTTGTAAAATAAATACATAATCACTTATCATATAAACAATGAAAGAAATTAACAGTTTCACTTACAGATATTATGAAGTATGCACTAAATGTGCAAGCTACACCACCACAAAGGAATCCACTTGAATAGTATATCCCTGTTATATACTTCCCCTTATTAAAATAACTAAAAACAAAAAACAAAAAA